CTGCTAAAAAAAAAAAAAAAAAAAAATACAAAAATTAGCTGGGTGTGGTGGCTGGTGCCTCTCAGCTACTCGGGAGGCTGAACCTGAGAGGCGGAGGTTTCAGTGAGCCAAAATTGTGCCACTGCACTCCAGCCTGGGTGACTGACAGAGTGAGACCCCGCCTCAAAAAAAAAAAAAAAAAAAAAAAAGTGCACTCTTACAGAGGCATTCTCAGCGACTATGTCATATAGAAACACATGGAAATAGATGTGGAAAGACACCTAGAACACAAAAACACACCCAGCTGTGGCCATTGACAGCTACAGGATACTTCGACACACCCAGAGTGGCACAGACCTCCTGATAGTGCCATCTGCCCCTATCTACCAAAGCACACAGATACACCCAGGCCCAACCAAAGGTAGATGCGGCAGTCATGCTTATGTGACAGAAACTCTGATCAAATCCACCTTCTGTCTATTCTATGCCTGCACCACACAGCTGAACATTCGTGATGGCTAGAGAAAGACATACAGCTGGGCACGGTGGCTCACACCTGTAATCCCAGCACTTTGGGAGGCTGAGGTGGGTGGATCACCTGAGGTCAGGAGTTCGAGACCAGCCTGGCCAATATGGTGAAACCCCGTCTTTAAAAAAAAAAAAGAAAGACATACAACCTTGACGCCTGGTCTCACTTTACATTTACGACCACAAGCTGGGCATAAAGGTGTGCGCCTGTAGTTTCAGCTATTCAGGAGGTGAAGGTGGTAGGATCGCTTGAGTCTGGGAGGTTGAGACTGCAGTAAGTTATGACCACACCACCGCACTCCAGCCTGGGCAGCAGAGTGAGGCCCTGTCTTAAAAAAAAAAAAAAAGAAAGAAAGAAAAGAAAAGAAAAGGGAAGCTCTAGAAAACACAGGCACCCATGTCTCTGCTCTCCACCTGTTAGTGTAGATGGACAGCCCAGGCGTCATCTAAAGCCAGTTCCTGCCCTGGTGCACAGGCCCCATCCCCTCCTTTCTCCTGAGCATTGCTCCAGAAAGTCTTCCCTCTGCTGTTCCACCATCAACATTCCCACCAGCACATAAACACAGTTATTCTCCATCCTAACAAAACTTCTGACTTCACCTCCCCCGAGCCCCCAACCCCTCTCCGGGATCAAGTAAC